GCAGAGTGAAAGGAAGAGGAGGACAATTGTCCCGTTGGAGTGGACGTTTCAACAGGTAACTGGGGAAGATTATCCACTAAGACACCAGAATTTCGACTTTGATACTCCGGAGAATGTGCACCATCCCCACGATCTATACTTGTTACTAAGTCCGATAAATGAATTGTGCCTGGCTTGAATAGGGATCTCAGAAAAGAATACATCTCTTCCAGTTTATACTAGAACAGAGAAAATTCAAAGAAACCAATATCAAGTATATTCAACAAATCGGAAACGTGAAAATGAACCTACTGACTCCAAATGCAGTATTTCTTGCAATCGTCCAAGTGTTAAACGAGGAAGTTCGTGTTGCTCTGGTTCCACAGTTAGATGCATTGCGTATATGATGCAAGCTGTGGCGACATAGGCAGGCAGAAACAAATTAACCCCCTCCACTACAAGAGATGACTGACAATTAAAACAACAAACCATGGAGAATCTTCATATAAATCTTGTTAGTCGATCCACGAATAAGTTGTTGTAGCTCAGGTCCACAGGGGATGAAACATGCTAGAGGCTGAATAAAGTCGATTGGTGTGATCATTGTAAGATCAAACTGTAACGTCAATCCAATCAATAGCTCTTTGGCCTGCCAAAAAAACCAGACGTTCAAGTATACGCGATAAGAAGGAGTTCAAGCTAAAAACCACGACATACAAACAGCTCCTGTTTTGTAATCGAAAAGTCCGTATACCGCACGATTTGATCCACGGAAACAGGGATCGTCTCCTTCAGTTTACTAGAGATAAAGAAACAGGCTGCTCCGACGAGCTGATAATCGCGCTTGTCCGTATCCGTCAGTGATACATAACGATCAATCAACTGAACAGTGTGAGCCAAGACCTCCGGTTCAGTATTCCGATGTTCACACACTTCTCGCAGCCAATTTATCAGTGTTCTACGCATCCACACTGCCTGCCCCACTGATTCTCTGTGACAAAATGCTGGAAAGGCATGATATCGTAATTGATCATTCAAGAGATCACGAATAATGCTTTCGTTCCCATTGAAATAAGCATCAGCAATAGGCTGGGGCACGGTAGCAGGAGTTTCATCTTCGGATTTCTCTGATAAGTCACGCTCAGTCCTCGAGTTCTCCATTAGCACCGTAAAGAGCAAGGGACACAAGCAAACCACCAGTCCAACGGCCGGCCAAAAGGGGGAAAGCGGCACTACTTGTGAACCAGATGAATTAAAACAAATAACAGATAATGTCCTAGCAAAATTGAAGATGCGTTTAAATTAGTGCTCAAATGCACGTTATATGAATTATTTCGTAATTTATGCCAAATTTTTTAGACTTTAATTAATGACAAACTAATTTCTGAAGTCTATTTGTGCGTACATTTGATTGTATGCTTTTAAACGCTACTGCATTTCGGCACGTTTTTAAAGGTTGTAGCCGAGTTTCTATGCCTCAGTTACTACGTAATTGCTACCTCTAGAACATATTACTAAAAATGCATTTCATTCTGACTTTTTTGACACTTAGCTGTTACATTTTGCTATTGTGCTTTGTGAAATGAAATTACACATTACCTACTCTGGTCGGCCTTGTCCTGTTTCTAGCATTACTCCGTCGGTTTTGTTGTATTTCTATTTGTTAGCCACTCTATTTCCAA